AGGAGACAAGACAAGAACTGGTAAAGCTATGGGCAGTTTTCACTGCGTTATATACGCTTAGCGACGACGACCCCATACGACAACAGGCCCCATAAAGTGTTCCGCTCCTAAAAGAGAGAGCGATAGAGAAAGGGGATTGCGGTCCTTCAGTCGAGTCTCGGGGAGCGGTATGGCAGGAAAATACATTTCTTTTTAATTTTTTAAGCATATACTGTGAGGAACGAAACCATGAAAACGCTGTAAGGCTTTTTTTCTTCATTTAATTTCTCGCATTTGCCAGACGCATCAACCTATAAATCTTCTTATTCGAGGAATCACTTGTTTACCGTCTTCGAGCGTCAGTTCCGTACGAGTGAGTTCATAGTTCGACACGGCAGTTCGATGGATTCATTTCTTCGAATTCTTCATTGTTTTCGCATCGCCGCGTGAGCCTCCAATCGGTCGGACACACGCCAACAGCAAGTTAAATATATACTGAAAAAGAAAGGCAATCGCTCGGCGGTACGTATTGTTTCAGTTCCACTAAAAAAATCGGCTTGGTTGTGAAAGCCGCAGCGTGTCATTGTATCGTCTCTGAATCGACGCTCAAACAGCGAACACGAATTACGACGGGAAAAAAAAAAAAAAAACCGCGCGAACAATACACGGCTTGGGTTGCACAGCCGGCGGCGGCGTTCGATTGCGCGCCCTCTGTGGACAGCTGTATTGACGGCGTGGCGCATCTTTGAGGCCGCGAGCCCTAAAAAAAGTGTCGAGGAAGAAGAACAACCGCTGCTGCAACACACACATGTATTATGTGTGTAGGCTCCTTCTTCCAGTTAACGCCGCTGACCTAAATCTTGTTTTACGCCCAGTCAAACGGTGATCTATTTACGGAGCGCAGCCCTCCGCAATCAAGCGGCCTCATGATACATTGTTTAACTCGCATCTAGTCATACACTGCTAAAGAGCTCAGCAGGATCCCTTGTGGTGGCGGAATGAAATGATGTGTGTCCATGTGCTTCGAGTTGTTGACAAATCCGCCCTCGCGCCGCCGATCACTATCCTGGTTCGACCAATTCGTAGAGTGACAGCCCCGAAAAAGCGTTGGTTTGGCAGAAGGACTGAAAGCTGGGCCAGTTGATGATAATACTGGAACATATCTCAACACAGCGCACGACTGCGCGGACTCAAGATAAGAAAAGACGGCACTGCGGTTTGTCTCTTCTCTTGCGTCCGCGTATTTAGTCGTGCGCTGTGTCAAGATATGTTCAAGCGTTTGCTTGGGTTTGATCCTCGGACCCAAGACGAATGTTTCGTTAGCTATGACACTTTCCATTACGAGAAATCCATAAGAATTTCACAGTCACTTCGTGCCAGGAACGGGTTGTTGACGGCCACCTTTTTCATACCGGATTGCATATGATATGGGAGAGACAGAGCCTGATCTACGCGTCATTTCACTCTTCACGCATATAGCTGATAGCATTTCTTAAGCACAACGACCCGAACGCCTTACGACTGGCAGGAATCGGTCCGACACAACGCGATCCACATGCAATCACTTACCGAATCTATGTACCACATTACATGCACGCACGAAAAGAGAGCTGCTCTGACGGATGCAGGGACAGAGCCTACGCGTGCGATCAATCTGGTTTCGCTTTCTGCTGCCAAGCCGATGACCCAATAGCACAGTAAGGTGCACTATTCTCCCGTACGAAAGCCAAACAGTCATTCAGACAGTAATGGCCATCCGAATGACTCTTAGCCTTCTCGCGGGCCACACGCCTATACTGCGAGCCACGCCGCACAATGGTTCGATGTTCGTTTGCTGATTCGTCGAACGCGTTAGGCCGGCCACTCGACATCACGTTTTCCGACCGCGATGTGAGCGAGATTAGCGACGGCGCTGCAGCTTGCTCGGCGACTGCTCTAACCACGCGTTACACGCGGAATATATATATATGGCCACCATCAGCGATGCATCGACAGCGAGCGGTGACTCAATGGGCCTAACGAGGCAGCCGAAGGGACGCCGCATTATCGAGCGCAGATGCCAACCCTTGCGTCACTACAGTGCACGCCACGGGGCCTGCGCCGCCTGAAACGTGATTGCCTCTGTAATTATTGCATCGTGCGTGTACGTCCCACGCGAGGGAAACCGATCTCTCGCCCTTCTCTCCTCCCAGCGTCACCTCGTCTATGAGAGCGCGGGCAGGGACAATCAACAACGCGCTGAACGAGAAGAGTACATATACTCTGGGAATAAAGAAAAACAATAACCCGAGTGCGGCCATCGATCTGGTGGGCCGAATCATCACGCGTGCAGTTGCCACGTCAACCCCTTCGCATAGTCACCCCCTCCCCAATACCAGGAGGCCTCCCCGAATCGGTTGGTTTTGCTTTGCGACGCCGCTTCGTATTCCCCCAATTTTTTTTGGCCATCCCATTCCCCTTCACTCCTTCTTCGGGTTCATAACTTTCGCCGCCACGGCGGCTGACGCGGGAGGTGTGATTCTGTTCCCCCGCCGTCACTTCACTTCTCTTCCCCCTTTTCCCTATTTTAATTCCTCTAATTCCTCGCCTCGCATCGGGATCGAGTCTCGTTTATTTATTCCTCAAAGCGCGGGAGGAAAGGGTTGTCGCTGATGGGATTCCGACCGGTCTGCTTGCCCCGAAAGCCGAAGGCGTCCTTTTTTTTTCTTTTTAACTCCCCAAAAGGGTTGGCCATCCCCATCGACCCCTTCTCTATTCCACTGCGGCGAGCGCGCCCGGCCGGCATAATAGCCCCGGGAGCTGGCACCTACCGATTGGGACAAAGGCGTCCGATCAGCCAGCGCGCCAAAACCCTGGTTCGAACCATGCCTGGCTCGCATCTCACTTCATCCGAAGTCTCCCTCTTTACCCTACGCTCGTTTTCATCCCTACGCACTCCCTTCTTCCCCTGCCCGGCTGATGGCGTTTATTTATTTCCGAAGTCCCCGGCTCAATCCCTTCCGTTCACCTCACCCCGTTGCTGCCAACCATTTCTACCAGGTCCGCTCCCTTTTTTTTTGTTTCTATTTCTTTTAAACCCCTCGATTCTCATCATCTTTGATTTTAGGGATGTTTGCTTAGAGACGGTTCCGTGCTGCGGCCCTGTAATGTGGCCCTCCCCCGAAATTGGAGCCTCTTCCCATTTCTAATGCCGATCACTTTCCTTTCTATCTTCTCTCTCTCTCTCTCTCTCGCGCGAGCGTTCTTTCTCCTCCCCTGCCAAACAAAGGCCAGGACAGGCGGCTTAGTCATCACAGCCATTCCCAAAGACCGCGTTCGAAGGCCCGATGACTCCCGACAGGCGCTGACGCCGCCACCGATGGCATACGGCACGCACACGAGGGCAACCATCCAATAGAGAGAAAGGAGAAAAAAGCCTATAGTAATAATGAAATATACGATGAGCACCCCCCCCCCCCCCCCCTCGCCACCCGTTCGGTTCCTGGTTTCATGCACGCACTCCACTATCGACGGCCGAGCTAAGAATAATATACGTGCAGTGTGACATTGTGCTGCGATTCATGACAATATCGGCGCGGCCAGTATACAAGCACTGCATATAATAGCACGCTTCCGCCACCGATTGCTTGTTGCAGTGACCATACTAAACAACTGGTTATTTATAAAAGAGCGTTTATCTTCGCAACGGCACACTCTCTGAACGCATTTTTGTTCTTATCCGAATAAATCAAAGCAGAATTGACGCAATGGCAATAGTAGTGTTCTTGGATACGGTTGAGAGAGCATTCTCATTGGAACAAAAAAAATTCTGAAATCTGACTCGAAGACAATTTGAGCTTGAACCACGTTGCAGTTGAGGGAATCCGGGTTCCTTTTGACTGTCTGGGGATTCTTTGACGTTCACTTTAATCTAAGCAGGCGGATATTCTTGTGCTTCGCCTCTAAAGAACTGCGCCCGCCGTGGTCGGGAGTCGAACCCGTACCCTCGTCTTTTACGCAACATTATAGCCGCTAAGGCCCATCGATGGGTTCCTCACGCGGAAAGTTCGGAAAACCGACTACTCACGACTCTGTCGCATATCAACATATCAACAGTCAGCATATCAACATATTTCAAATATCAACATATATCAAATATCAACACATTTCAGTACTAATGTCCTCCCCATACATAGCCATAAGAAACGCGAAAAAGTGCCGTAATTTTCCTTGCGATGGAATGGCTTTTGCTTCGGAACATTTAAAGCAGATGGTATCGCGGTTCGTTGGACTGGTGTATGCATCTAGTATCACACACAGGTGCAAAGGCGAGAAGATGAGATGCAAAGTTAATTTTCCCTTTGACTGTTTCAAGCATGGAGCCTCATCGCTAGAGGGAAATCTGGCGCTAGCGTATATGGGACATGAAACACATGACGCTTCAGCCAGCATGGGAATGATACGCAGTACGCGGATTTGTCTAAACTTCGTACTTCCGGCTTCCGTTTGGCTTGCAGACGCTTTGTCGCAAGACAAAGTTCAGCAAATGTTCAGCAGTCTCACTTAACCCATCAGGCAAATTTTAGCTTCACCAATAAGCATCCGCTCACGAGGTTTTCAACGAGTGATTCTTAAATCACAAATAAAAGCCAGAGTAAAAAAAAACGCACAAAAAACCGCAAATACGTTCAAAACCGCAAGCAGGAAGGCAAGGAAAATCCATGTACCACCAATTATTCCCGTGGTGGAGGAATGATTAAAGCGTCACAGCTTCCTCCAGTAAGAGAGAGAGAGAGAAATAAATAAAAGGAAGAGACAGGGAGGTTAACTTAAAAAGAACTGGTTTGGTACCCTGTACAGGGGTTGGGAAAGAGGGTCGGAAAGAGGATAGAGATAAAGAGGTATAAAATAAATTAGAAAAAACCACTTGCTTCAGTAAATATTGCACAAAACTCTATGGTTTCAAGCACGCACACACGTCGCAGTTCCGCTCCTTGCATTCCATTCGCGGCGAGCACGGGAAATGTGTCCGGAGTCCTTACCTGATTTACACGTTCCAAGTCGGTCATGAGCATTTCCATTTCATCGGACCGGCTGCGAGAGAGGGAGAGAAAAGGTTGCGACAAAGGACGTTACAACGCACTCTGTACATCATGGGTTCGGGCATAGCAGGAATGACATGCCACAGTTAAGCCATGTGCAGCACGAGGTGTAGTGTGCAGCTGCGGATTAATTCCGACCGCTTGATTGCATTTTACTTGCACTTAAATTAAACGAAAAGGGGGCACTCTTAACATTCTGCATCTCCCCTTCAATAACCGAATACTTATGCGACTACAGCGGGAATTCAAACCAGTTACTTCGCTTCCAACAGCATAAAGCCGTAGGCGCGCCAAATAGCACGACCACAAAGATTCACTGAGGAGTTATTGATGGTTATCAATCTATTTTAGCGGTGCACTTGAACCACCTTCACCTGAACAAAACCACCACCGAAGGCAGGCACCACATCTATAACCGGCCTTTGAGGTGAAAGTAACAAGAAAAAAAAATAATAACCTGTTCGCTATCTAACTTGAACAGAAAAAAGGAAAGACGGGGAATGATAGATATAGAAACCAAGCGTATTCACACAGCCTTCACCTGTCGCCCCATGCTGTTCGCAGCGTAAGATTGGCACTCGTCAATAACGCGATTGTTTGTGCACCTCTGTACCGTAGCAGCGTCCACGTACTAAGTGACATTTAACTCTAGAACTGGGTTATGTCCGAGAGAGAGAGAGAGAGAAAGAGAGAGATCGTGAAGTTAATTCGTGGGAAAACGGAGGTCGGAACACTGGCCAATGTTGCGTTAGGCGAGCCGCCCTTTTGCCGCAGCCGCCAGAACGGAAGAAAGGCTGCACGCCTCATTTTGTGGAGATATGGAGCAGCGCGAAGACGCCCTGCTGTTTCCATGTACTGGGCGCTGCGTGGTTGAAACTACTATAGACGAAACATCGCTGTCCTTGGGGTTCGCGCAGAGATGCGACACGCGGCGTATTCGTGCCTTAATAGAAGTGTGGCAGTTTGGGCTATAGTTGGTATGGCATGACGATAGTTACAGCGCGAGAACAGAACGACGACAAAGAGACAAGAAGGACACGAGCGCTAACTTCCAACTCTTTCAACAAGTTGGAAGTTAGCACTCGTGTCCTTCTTGTCTTTTTGTCGTCGTTCTGTTCTCGCACTACAACTATCGTATTCGTGCCCCAATAAAAGTCTCAATGCCGAGCTTCCACCGATTACGGACGTCGGACCACAACGCTGTGCGTCTCTGGCTGATGAGCCGGCGACGCTCAAATCAGTACCAGATGTCCAGGTATGGCCCCTCGGAGTCGCCTAGACCGCGACCGCCGTTCGATAAAGCATGGCTGGTGGGCCCGAGCGGCGAGATGACAGACTCGTTTCATCCCACTCGCTGGAAGCAAGATTCGCCAGAGAAGGTAGCATCGCCGGGACCATATATACACGTGTTTGGTTTGTGTATGTGCGTTTGTTGAGGACGGTGCCGGCATAGTGACCCTCGTGTGTGCTGTGGGACCTTTTATTGGACATGGCAGTATGGACCTATTCCCCGATCTAGGGATCTGGGGAAAATGAAACTGTTTAATATCAGCCCTCGCGTGCTGCTGTGCTTGTTCACGGTGCTTGTTCTATATGGAGAGCCTTGCAATGCAGAGCTTAGAGCTTCGGGCCAGAGAGCTCGTGCCATGTAAATAATCAGGAAACGTCCCAGACGATTGGAAGAAAGCTCAGGTTATTCCCATCTTTAAATCAGGCAACCGCGCAATCCCAGCTAACTACCGACCTATTTCCTTAACCAGCATCCCATCTAAAATGCTCGAACATATTATAGCTTCAAACCTAATGACATATCTGGAATCCATCAAATTTTTCTTCGATCACCAACATGGTTTCCGGAAACAACTATCATGCGAAACACAACTGGCCGAATTCACACATGATATTCTTCACTTCATGGATGAAAATCTTCAAACTGACGCCATATTTTTAGATTTCTCTAAAGCATTCGACCGTGTTCCTCATAACCTCTTACTCTCTAAACTATGCAACCTTGGAATCCCTCCCAACATAATTTTCTGGATAGAAAATTTTCTAAAAAACCGTAAGCAGTTCACCAGCGCTAATGACCACGACTCACCTCTTTCCGACGTAACGTCCGGCGTCCCCCAAGGTGCCTGTCTCTCCCCGCTCCTTTTTCTAATATACATAAATGACTTACCCACCAATGTGCTAACCAAATTAAGACTTTTTGCCGATGACTGCGTTTTATACTCTCCAATCTGTACACCAGACGACAGCATTAAACTTCAACATGATTTAAATTTAATTGTAACTTGGTGTGATAAGTCACTAATGCCGTTAAACCTAACTAAGTGTAAAATTATGTCATTCACCCGCAAAAAGAGCCCAGAAAAATTTACCTATAGCATAAAGTCTGTTCCCATTAGCCCTACCCTATCATACAAATACCTCGGAGTGCATCTGTCATCGTCGCTATCCTGGTCAACCCATATTCAAATAATCTGTTCAGAAGCTTCACGCACTCTCGGATACCTGCGCCGCAACCTAAAATTAGCCTCACCAGACATTAAAAAATTAGCCTATGAAACGTACGTCCGACCGAAACTAGAATATGCTTGCTCAATTTGGCAACCCTCACAAACATATCTAACTAACGATTTAGAAAGGATTCAGAACCGCGCTGCCCGTTTCATTTACTCCCAATACTCTAACGATATCAGCGTTACTGCACTAAAAGAATCATTGAAACTGCCGTCCCTCGAATCTCGTCGTATCATTTCTCGATTGTGTCTGATGCATGCTTTCTATTATCACCCTCAATCACGGCACGTCCTCCTTCAACCATCACACAGAACTTCATCCCGCATAAACCACAGTCACCCTATCGCACCAATAAATGGACACACTTCTGCAATGATTACTTCCTTCTTTCCCAATGGGATAACACTGTGGAATAAACTACCTGATAATATAGTCACGTGTAATAACCGCCAAATTTTCCGCAGTAAGCTAAAATGTCACATGTCGCAATCTAACTGAATGTGCTGTTTTCCCTGCCAATGTTTAAATACTTTTTTTTAACTAATGTATAAACTGTCGTCACTTTTCTCTGGAAGCTTACCTTTGTACCATTACTTTTTTATTTGCATTTGGTAATATTGGCGTTTTACTTTGCATATTGTACCTTTTTTTTTTCATTGTTCTTTGAATGTTTACGTTTTGGAACCCTTCGAGTTTTGTTGAGTTGTTCGACATACCTTGTACGCCGCCCCCCCTTATGTAATGCCTCCGGGCCTTTAAGGTGGAATAAATGAAATGAAATGAAATGAAAAATAATGTAAATAAACCCTGTCTACCAAGTTCAACCTCCTCCTGCCTCGGCATCCTGATACCGGATCTCCGGTGACTGCGACCCCCAGTCGCAACACCAAACGAAATCGAAGCCATTGTCGGTGGTTCAAGCTTGCGCATTAGAGGGAGCGTTTCTGCCTAGCAAAAGTATTAAAGGTAAGTCACGCGCAGCTATGTGTCAGTACGATAAAAAAAAACAACAGAAAGAAACAAACAAAGACGAAAGCCCGAATACCGCCGTGGTGGCCATTATTCAACGCAGATAAATATGGCAGATGCCCACGGCGCCCGTCAATCTCGCGGTTTCGCTTGCGCGACACGTCGGTGCACGTATCGGAGCGCGCAGTCAGCGAATGCGCGTTCATCTATTCGTCGTTGCATACACGTACGGGCACTTTGACGGCAACGCGGACGTTAAAACAAGCTGCGCGAGAATATTAGGTCGCGACGAGGAATTAACCAAGCCTGACGCGAAGCTCATCTCAAGGACGACGCCGCAAACAGTTCGATCATGGCGGCCGTCAGGCCGCCCTCCCGTATACGACACACGCGCTGTCAGAGCGGACTCGAAACAGGATATCGGAAAATAAATTATCCCGCGCATCTGCAGATACGTCATAGAGGGGAGGGTCACGGTACGTGCATCTGTAAGCGTTCCATTTTACTTTTAAAAATGCCTCTATTTTCCAATCGCCCGTTACTACGGCGCAATCAAGTCCCTCCACATTTTCAGAAATGGCTCCATCCATCTATAACGGCGCAGTTGTCTTAGCGGTTCGTGCCAGGCGTGACATTTTAAGCGAACGGGCCTGATGAGACTGGTGGTGTATACGACTAAATTGCGAGTCAAAGGTTCGACTCTTCAAGCGACGCTATACCTGTTGCTGAGGGCTGTATACTCAGCCTCGTCGTAGTCGTATGCCCTATAATAAAGAATCTGTGTAAGGTGTCAAGCGGAGTGACGAACGGCAGTTCACATGCTTTCGCTTAAGCAAAGTTTTCGGCTTCTCGCACGCAGGGAAACATGTCGCACCCTTCCAGAGCGACTGGACGGGCTAGCAGGCGACAAACTGAGAAGGGAATTGAACTTGACCTCAAAAGTCTTGCATCACTGTACATGGATTGCGTGAATTGAAGGCTCATTCCTCATTTCTCTCTATTTTTTCGATCAAGAACGGCGAGAGAGAGAGAGAGGGAGGGAGTAAAATATAGCAACAGCAACGGTAGAAAAATTAGCATCAGCTGTAATGTGGTGGTGTAAGGGCAACGAACAAAGACAGTTTTGTCATTATGCGCTCACGCTCAGCCTATAGCATTTGACTTAAGCCCGTGGCCTTTGATTGAAGTAGCAGTGATCTCATAGCCTGCTTGCTTCGATGACATGCCGCAGCCAGGAACCAAGAAGCTAACATTTCGAAAGACGAAGGGTCTATCTAGGGCAGAAAAAAAAAAAAACAACTGCTCCTTCATCCTTTGTCTTCATTACATCAGTGTCGCACAGTCACTTTTGATAGCGATCGCACCCGATCTTGATCAAACTTCACAATTGTGATTGGCTATTTTATGCAGGGTGCATGATGGACATCAATCGCTGTTGAGAAATTCGATCCTGTACACCTCGATAGCAATCTACGCAGCACACCATGTGACGTCGGTATT